TTACGCCCAATTCTCGCACCAAATGTCTGACCGGCTCGGACCGTTACTGGGACCTGGAAATGGGAAAAAGCCAGTCAGGTCGACGACCACGTGCACTTGCCTTATTATAATCACTCTGCCGCGCTTGGATGTATCACAGTGAGCTAAAAGCCGTGAATTGAAATCTTGCAAACTGAAGGGATAAATTGGGCCTCGCAGTTGGCTCAGTGTATGTGGACAAAAGGTCAGTCACCCTTGTCTCTGCAGCTGTCCTTGTTGTTGTTGTTGTTTTTGTTGTTGTTAATGATGTCATTGGTTAAAATCCTGGACCAGAGTTGTTGCGGTACGCCCATGTGGGGGCTGCACTGTGTCATCCACCTGCGCCCTCGCCCGCCTCCTTATCATCATTCTCTTCTTCTCCTCCTCCTCCTTCTCCTCTTCTTTCTCCTCTTCTTCCTCCTCCTCCTCCTCCTCCTCCTCCTCATCATCAGTATTGCCACCACCACCACCATCATCTTTCTACTTTTTCATCTTCATCTCCTTCTCCTATTCCCCTTTCCCTTTTATCTACTCTGATTGTAATAACTACTTCTTAAAATCGTCCTCGATTGTAGCGAGCTCTGGTAAATCGAACGATTTTCTAGGTCAAGGGCTTGCATGATCCACTGATGTGCCTAATGTAGAGAAACAATTCGGGCTATGGAGTACTCTGGCTGCAAATGACAGGATTTCATACTGCGTCTTTGCCACGCAAATTTTCCTGGCCCAAGGAATCCATCATTACTGTTTCACACACAGGATGTGACCTCCTCTTTCACTGTCAGTTCCTTCCTGCACACTTGTGTTCCACTGTTATGGGTTAAGGATCAGCTATTTGTCGCGTCAGGGCCACGCTCGGAAGCAGGTAAATAAAAGAGCATGTTAAATCATTCCAACTTTTCATGCGAACCAATTGAACTGAAAACTGAGACTGCATATGGCGAAATGCCTTGACAAATTGTGTGCTCAAATCCCATGAGAGAAAGTGCATAAGTCAAACACTTGAGCGTACCTACAACTTGTAGTTAGGCGGACGAGAACGATTACTGCAAATGGCCGTAGCAATAGAGGAAATTATGTGTCGGCGATTAAAATACTGCCCAAGATGAAACTGGGGTGTTGTGCCGTGACGGTGGACGTTAAGATAACAGATAGTGCAAATCCATGTTAGAATGCAAATTAAAAATGGGCATATACTATGCTCATTCATTGCCTTACAAAACTTCGGGCTTACTGGTTCGCATTTGAAACACATATTCATCTTTAGTGAATGTGTTTGCGCTTATCAGATCTAAAATGGCCAGAATGAATTGCGCTGCAAATGAGACAAAGAGTAATGAAATCCAAGGGTACGGTTGCGAGAACAAATTGATTGTTATGCTCATGCGCATGCAAGGGATCTGCGGCCGCCATTTTTTTCGAAAATATATCGAGACCGTAGTATCTTCAATCTATGAAGATGCCATTGAGAGTAACCCTTAAGTGGAAATATTCCGATATATGTTGTTTGTCCTTCCGCGCAGAAATTGGGAGAGCACTGTAAAGTTTGGCTCTTATTGATGCTCAAGAGTCCGCTGGGTTTTTAACTACCCACCTTAAGTGCAAAACTGATATTTCAGACCAATTGTTTGGCCGTAATCATATATGCTTCTTGTTCATGCTATTCTAGGAGCTGTGGGTGGTGTGGATAGTCCTTAACGGCTAACGTTACATGAATGTCATTAAACCCTGCTTGATTAAAAGACAAATCCTTTATTTTGCGGTTAGTCTGTCACAAAGCGGTGAAGAGGAGGCGGTATTGCCTGACCGCTTCCATCTTTTGTCATTTAAATGACGTTGTTTTTCTACATAGTCTTCTCCAGTCTACACGTTCGGTTGTAGATTAGACCGACAATGGGATTGTTTTTGCTACATAAGTAGACTTTTTTGAATCAAAAGCTAGGAAATGGTCGGCGTTTGCAAGGAAGTGCGTGATGTGCGATGAGAGAGATAGGGGAGACGCCAGCATGACATAACCAACCCCGTCCTGAAACATTGAATGGTAGTACTTGGTGGAGACTCAGCAGAGTTATCATTTTGCACATCAGGTCCGCGATAAGACCCGTCACGGCTGCCGCGGGCACTTATGTTGTTCTCGGACCAACTGTCTTTACGCTAAACGGAGGCGAGAGGATGGTCTGTAGCTGAAAAGACGTAACACAGCGTCCACTTGCCCCGCATATGACCTGTTGGTGTCACTCGGTTTGTGACAGGTCTTATTATATCAAAGAGGACTGAGAGTGCCAAAAGGGCCGAATTAAGACACGATTATTGTCAGAATGGAGAGCAAACACGAGACTTCCCAATGGTCGATGACAGGAAACTGCTCAATCCACATGTCAAGAAAGCTGAGCAATGCTGGACATTAGGTAATGCTATAAAAGAAGGTACCGGCTGTTTCCTCAGGCGTATTTAGTGTGCCAGTTTCCAATTTTGATGTTCCTGGCCTCTAGCGCGGGTGTACGCATCTGCGCTGTCCCCGAAGGAATAGCGTCAATTCTTTCAGAGCTCCCGTTACGGTAGCACTTCGTTCGGGTGGAAATAATCGAACAAAAGAAAAGTATTTAAATCGAGCAAACAAGCTGTGGATCAAAAGGAGTGTTATCGGCAGCGCTTGTGACAGTAACGTGCAGGAGGGATGCGTAATAATAGGGACGGCTGGAGAAAACCGTTAGTTTAGTCGTTGGATTGAACGCAAAAGGCAAATCCGTATGTCGGATCGGCCTTTATGGGTTTGAGAAAGCGGATGCGTTGGTGAAAGAGAGGTAAGATGAGAGATACCGGGAAAAAGGTCCAGGTGCTGACATTGAGAGCGGGACTGCCCTGATGGAGGGCATCGATACCATTGCCTGGACTCGATGACCTGAGGATGTTTAATGGCATTCATTCCCACGCATGCCATGATACCAGCAACGGCATTTACGATGAATGAGACAAACCATCGATATAGAATTGAACAAATTTTCGTGATGATTGTTAACAACTTAAACAAAATAGCACAGTTGTGTAACCCTCTAACAAGCCGACCTATACACTGCAAGTATACAATATTGCTGATAATTTTTCCAATTCCACGGTCAGCCTGAAATTCTGAACAATAACTCACCCTCCTTTAGTAAACTGCATACTGAAACCATCGTGTCCTTCATCTTACATAAATTTCCCCACCATATTGGCGGTGAAGTATGTGAGATCAACTTAAACCACGCACAATAAGTTCGTTTCGTCTAATGACAGATGTCAGGGAGCTGTGAGGACTAGTTTATTCTGTAATCAGGGCGGGTTGCCGTAAGTTGGCTGTATGCTTGCAACAGAGAGAAACGCCCGTTCACTGAGGGCGTCAGTTGCGGTGTGTAGTTTGCGCCGGAGTGTAAGTGTGTGTCAGTATGTGGGGTTGATGGGTTGGATGCTGGTCATGAGATTGGACGGATTAGGGGAGGATAAGGGGGAAGCATAATTACAGGGGTTCACGTGTATCAAGCCAGGTCGTCCGACGCGCATGAGGAGATAATAGTTTGGGGAGGGGCAGCGGGGAGTCACTGCAGCTGGACATGAGGGGGGCCCAGTTCTATTTGGCGGGGGTGGTTGTGTGTCAGCGGCCTGGCAACGATTGTCGCGGCCATCGACCAACAAAACGGAGCCGGAGAAAAGGGGCGCTTGAGCGGCTGCTACAAACCCCCCCTAGACACACAACGAAGTGAAGGCGTCAGAATGTTAGCCAGCTGCAAGTTTGTCGGGCCAGTGGTCGTGACGACCAGATCGTGTACGGCGCACCGGAGGGGGGCTGTCGCCAGTAGTTGGAGGCATCACTGTTTGCGGCGGGGTACAGTGTTGAGGTGAGGAATGGTCACTGTCGTCGATGTAGGCCGGCTTGTCGCGATTAATGCTGACTGTGTCGGTCTTGCCGTTGCGGTCGATGACAACATCTTTGTCAGATCGACGAATGACTTTATACGGCCCGTCTTGGGGTGGTTGGAGTGGTCGTTGGACAGCCTCATGCCGAACCAAGATGAAATTTCACTTATCCAGGTCGAGAGGGATGAAGGAATTGCCGGTGACGCTGGAGGTGGCGTACCACGGAGATTGCGCATGACAAAACACATTTGGTCCACATAACTGCAATGTTCAAAGATCGTTGGCATGTTAAAGGGTTACACTAACTCACCGGCCAGTCTAAGGAAGGTTCCGTAGACAATATCAGCCGCAGTGCAACCGATTTCGGCCATGAGAGCGGAACGGAGGGACAACAGCACCATTGGAGGGTGTTCAGACCATCGGGTAGTATTGGGCTGGGCTATAAGTGATGTCTTGAGCTGTCGATGGAAGCGTTCGACAAGAACATTTGCTTGAGGGAGGAACGCTGTCGTTCGGATTCGGTTGGTTCAGAGAAGGGATGCGAGTTCGCGAAACAGCGTGGACTCGAATTGGGATCCGCGGTCAGTGGTGACAGTCGCAGGAAATCCAAAATTGGACACCCAGTGAGTCAAGAAAGCTCTTGCTACGTTTTCAGCACTGATGTACGGAATGGGCGCAGCAACCGGCCACCGAGTAAAGCGATCAATACATGTCAGCATATAGGTAGAACCGTTAGATGGTGAAAGGGGACCTACCAGGTCAATGTGCACATGGCTGAAGCGTGCATCAGGAGTGGCGAAAGTTCCTGGCGGAGTAATAGTATGCCGATACGTTTTGTCTCGCTGACATGATAGACAGGATCGTGTCTAACGTCAAACATCCCGGTTGATGTTGGGCCAGACGAATCGGTCAGTGATGAATTTCACTGTCGCCCGAACTCCAGGGTGGGATAGATTGTGAAGAGCGTTGAACACTGGTCGTCGTAAAGTTGCTGGAACAAAAGGACTTTCGTGTCCGGTAGAAAGTTCACACGTGGTGGTGCCAGTGCCAGTGGGAATATGAAAATCTTGAAGGCGTAAAAAAGAGTCCTAGTGGCGGTATTGGGAGAGTTCGACATCCGATCGTTGAACCTTAGCCATGAGCGTGAAGTCTATGGCGTCTGTTGTGATGGAAGCCATATCGATTCTTGAAAGAGCATCAGCCACCACATTTTCCTTACCGTTGACATGTTCGATGTCGCAGGAAAATTGTGAGGTGAAATCTAGTTGACGAATTTTACGGGGCGAGTATCGATCGGGAGAGGCCCTCATTGCAAAAACGAGTGGCTTGTGATCTGTTTGAACAAAGAATTCACGACACTCGAGGAAATGGCGGAAGTGCTGGATTGATAGATAGACGGAAATGAGTTCTCGGTCGAAGACACTGTAGCAGGTCTCTGCTGGGCTGAGGTTCTTCGAAAAGAAAGCCAAAGGCTGTAGAACTCCACTTAAGGTTTGCTGCAGTGATGCACCAACTGCGGTGCTGGAAGCATCTGTCGTAAGAGTAAGCTGGGCATCTGAGCGGGGGTGAGGAAGCAGCGTTGCTTTCGCAAGTGCGGCCTTGACGTTATTGAAGGACTTGACGGCTTCCTCGGTCATCACCAGTGTCTTCTTGTAGTGAGCCAACAGGCTGTTGAGCGGCTGCAGTGTGGTGGCACCTTGGGGAAGAAAACGGTGATAGCAGTTCACCTTCTCCAAAATTCAGCGAAGTTGGTTGATGGTTGTCAAGACGGGGAAAGTTGATATGGCCGAAACCTTTTCTGGGACGGGCTTTATCCCACCTGAGTTCACTTCATGACCCAGGAAGACTAGGCTGGGGACTCCAAACTCACATTTAGCAGCATTTATTACGGCGCCGAAGGAGTCAAGCCGTTTGAAGAGCTGTCGAAGATAAATCTCGTGTTCAACAGCGTCAGAAGTAGCCACTAGCAAATCCTCAATGTAGGCTTAGACGAAGTCGAGACCTCGCAGAACCTGATCAATGAATCGCTTAAAGGTTTGAGTGGCGTTCCTCAGTCCAAAGGGCATACGGGTGAATTCGACTAACCCAAAGAGAGTTGTCACTGCAGTTTTCGGAACATCACTGGCCTTGATCGGGATTTTGTGGTAGGTCAACCTTGGGGAAAATTCGCTTATCGTGCAGCGAAAGAGTGAATACTTGGGGCAGTCACAGAGTTCAACGCCCGATTCTTACCACACGGTCGCCAGTCGCCGCTGTTCTTTGGGACAAGGTGGAGGGATGATGTGTTAGAACTCTGCCTTGGCAATCTCCAAACGGTCAGGAGCAAGAAGGCGTGGTCGGCAAGATTCGGGATGTCCATTGGTGGAAATGTTGTGAGTAACTGTGTGTTTGATGTCCACTTCATAAAATGAGAGGTTGGTCAGGCGGGGAAACTGCCTGAGGAGTAAGTCGAAAGGACAATCAGAAATGGGCATAACAGTGAGAGGGTTGACGCA